ACAAACTGATAAAACAATGACATGTTCAATTGATACAGAAAGATATTTTGAAGAAGGAAAAGTCACTTCCATTAAAACTGAATTAATACAAATAGAACAACTTCACTCCATAGTCTTATTATTTGAAGCATTATTTTTACCACTTACAAATACACAATTATTTTCAATGATGCAAACATTATTAAAGACTATTTTTCTTCTATCCAAAAAATTCTTCGTTTGGACTAATGATAATAAAAAATATCTCCATGCATTTTTTCGTCACAATATCTTTCCAAGTTAATAAAACCTCGAAACCCTCTTCAATTTTTCGAACTTAAAAAGGTTCTGTATGAAAATTACGAAATGATTTTCATGCCACGGAACTTAAAATCGTTTCATAAAACAGTGCGAAAACTTCAAAGTTCGGTAGAACACCTTTTTTTTTTACAGTGTATTTTTCGATAATAACAATTTTTTTTTATATAAAACTTACTCAAAGGACTTTGGGGTTGATGAATACGAATCTACAGATGATTTGTCGAGATTTTTGAGTTCTATTTTTTTGATCAGTGGAGATCTATTTTAAAATAATAGATGAATTTAATAAAACTGAGCTAAATCTCGAGAATAGGTTTATACTAACCAAAAACTATCGAACTCAAGAACTTGGAGCAACCACTTATAGATTCGGGTTTCTCAACTTAAAAATGTTCGGACAAGTGTTATAAAGAACGGTTATTCTCGAAAAATACGATTATCTTGATCGAAAAAATCGAATCGAATAGTATGACTCTTATCTCTAGATATAACCTCAATTTCTATCTGGTTTTCATTTCAACTCAAGATTTTCAATTAGGTTTTCTATCTTCTTATTTCAAGTGGAAAAGTTCATAGAAATGTACATGTTACATTCTAGAAGATTATTTTGATAGCAATGCTGAAAGTTGTATTCAATGCAAAAGGAATATTTTATCGAGATTTTATTAGATAACTGTTGCAAAGCGATAATGGCAGTTTTTATAAAAAATAAACACACAACAATAAGGTGTCACGAGTCAAGAATAACCCTCACAACTAACTCACAGCTGACTTTGCAGCTTCAGACGGAACGCAATCTTGTAGGAAAATGCGCAGAACGTATGAGTTTTCATGTGCGATGACTGGCAATATTAATGATTGAATAACTATGACGATGCTTAAACCATTATTCATTCCTTAAAGTGAAGCGACACATTTCGATCTTTCAGAAAAGGATCAACGAATTCATAGGATGAGTGCTACTTTTTTTACACAAATGAATATAAGAAGAATTATTTACAGAGGTTCCGAATGAAAAAAAATCATGAAAACTTTGTGTAATTACACAATGCCACAGTGTAGTTATTTAGGTACCCGCCTGTAATTTCTGGTTCGCAGTGTGGCCAACAGTCTGCAATGTCTGGATATGCGAGAGACTGTGGATTACTTTTGCTAGCCAATACATCCCACTGTCTCATAAGTTTCGTAGCGATCGATAAATTGGAAACAGTAAATGACTGACGAATTCTAGGTGTCCAGTTTGGATCACTCTTGCAAGTAGATGACTTTACTGGTTCATCGAATAAATCATTCACATTGCCTTTGTATCCATGCATCATGAAGTCTAATTGGTGTATTTTAACGTGTGGCGTAATATCGCGACAGAAACTGTGCCCTCGTCGATGTAAGATTATGTGTTCAAATAGTCTCTGTCCTCCCAAGGCACATTTTGTACAGCCGACGAATTTCAAATATTGTCCCTCATTAAACGAGTTTTTGTATAAAGCTGAACATGTTTGGTAGAAACGATCATTAAGTTTCCCTATCATCTCTAAAAAGTGTAGATGAAGCGCCCCATTATCGTTATTGTGATGTCCAACAATTAGGTATTCTTCTGAAAAACTCAACCCATTTGTTTAAATATAGATAAGACCATGGATGATTTCTAATAATATAGTTACCAGCCGCAATTTCATTGTTCCAAAATCTCTCATAATGGATTACATGAATACTTGGATCTTTAGGTATGAAAGACTCCAGCGACTTTGTAGCATTGACTACGAAAGTGTCACCATCTAAAACAAGCAACCATTGAGCATCAGGATTTTGTATTAAATATACCATGATAGAACAATGTTTTCTAAAGAAAAAGTTACTTATGTGTGCGCATGTAACATATGTATCTGGATTCAATAAAGTGAATTGGTAACCGTGACGATGAGCATAGCACAATAAAGTTTCGCCATGACTGTGATAACGACTCACAGCATTATTACTCGAGACGGCCACTATATGAATTTTGCTTTTGTTCAACGAAATATACGAAGGTTGCTTTACTTTTACGTTAACTATTGATATAATCGAATTCCAGCGAATAGAACTATTTTCGAAAAATATGAATAGACAAGTTACGAAAAGTACCACGAATAAAACATCCAAGATACGAATTGTTCTCGGTTGAATCAAGTTTTCATAAAGCAATTTCAACTTATTTAACAGCATATCAAGTTCCACAAATTTTATTTCGCCTTTATCTCTGTTCTAAGAAGCAGTTGATCTGCTAAGTAACTAAAATGAGATGTATGAAATAAGCAATGAATTCTACAATACTCAGAGAAAGTGGCCCTAATAAAGTGCCTTCTAAGTAAAATTTTCTCAAGACCTTTACGAGAAAATTCGTCGTTCCACTCAAGTAAAACAAATCCTAAGACCATATAAGAAACTGTAAAGTAGTCACACTTGTAAGAATCGTATGACAAGATTCAATATAAGCTTTCCAGAGACAACGAATTTTCCTACGTTCTTCTCTAATTTTTAAAGTGCATGCTTCCAAATAGAACGTAAAGAAAGCTAGCAGTGGATCCGAGTACTTCTTCCAGACATTCGCTTCTGGATCAGTGCTGGCCTTCAAATTACTTGTACTCAATTCAGAATTCAATTTCTTAATAGACTTCTGAGATTTTAGAACGAAGGCAGCATGGAAACGCTTAGGGTTTCTGTCATAAAACCGAGTTTTTCATACAATCCCATCCCTAATCCATGCTGATATTTACCCCTAAAACTCTGCTTGCCTTGTAATTGGTTGTGCTGGATGCAGGATTTTATTCTCTATCAAATAGTGATATTTTCAAAAGGAAAGGATAAGGGGGTCGCAGTATCCAAAAGATCGAGATTTCGAATAAAAAAGTAGGCTCCTCACCGAGTTCTCCTATTAATCCTTGCTGATATTCGCTCTTGGATCTGCCCTGACCTTCTGATTACTTTACCTGGATGGAGACTTTGGTTTTGGTGTGGATGACACTGTGATGGTGAGTATGGATCGAAATTTCTTTTTTTTTGTATTTATCTGTCGGGATTTGGTTTCAGATATAGGTTTTCCTCTCTTCATGAATATGTGTGTGTTGTGGAGTGTAGGTTTGCTACTCGGTGTTGTCTTTATGTGCATGTGCATGTTCTTTACGTTGTAGGTTTGCGTGCGGATATGAAAGTTTCGCTATGAAACGGAGCATTCTCGCATGTGCCGACATATTCCGACTGTTAATAACGTCTTAATACCAACCCATAACTAAAGCTTTTGTCATCAGCTTAGAATTAATTACTGCCGAAGACAGCAGCTACGAGAGTTACAATAGAAAAAAAAGCGATAAGGACGAAGAAAAGTAATTGCGTCACTTATTTTTTATGCATGCTACTATAGTAAGAAAGAAATTGGATTGTCAAGTTATATTTACTTCCAATTTAATTTATTTTAAATTTAAACTATCTGCACTTCGTAATTCATTAAATTAAAAATTAAATTAAATTATTCTACTTTTTTTTGATACTTCGTGTATGATACACCTCCTATTTTTAATATGATATCTATCTATAAATTATGTATTATATAACATTATCTTTTATCTAGCAGATCCTAATATGCCGAAAGATCCTACTCTTCATCAAAATCAATTTTTTCGAAGAAAAATCAAAAACTTAGTTTATGTCATAGCAAGATGGAGGATGTTTCAAACATTTATTTCTGAGTTTAAAACATTTTTCGTAAAGTAGTCACTTTTCAAGAATCACAAATCACTTTTCAACTAATATCTGCAGAGAGTTATGAATGGAGAAATACTTATTTTCAGATGTCATAATGTTCTCATTCTGTTTTATTAGTTCATGTATTAGTGCTAATACAGGAATGTTTTCCAAATGCAATGAATATGTTGGAATTGATAACAATCTAATTTTCTAGACTTGAGCAAAATTTCAACTCCTCAGTTATCAAAAAAAAAGGAAAAACAATCTAAACAGGAACTCATTGTGTTTGATTTTCTTGATCAATTCTAGCATGTAGTCTAACAAGGTTGCCGAAATACCTCTTTTGACATTCTCTAGTATCATTTTCCTACTTCAATTTTCTACCGACGGAAAAATGTTGTGTCACATAGTTCAATAGATTAGCGCATTTTTCATCATTTAGACAAAAACAATCCAAACGATTTCGGTGCATGTCTACCGTTCTCTTCATTTCTATCTACGTCTGCCTTTCTTACCTTCATTTTTTGTGCCTATTTACCTTGCCGGTGTTGAACGTTGTCATGCTGAAATTTTCTAGTTCTTATCATTCCGTGCTTAAGTATCCATGTTCATTGTTCATCAATCCATGGTTACGTATGAACGCACTTGTTTAAACTGGGTACTTGAAAATTTTTGCAAAACAAAATCACTTTTCAAAGCATTTTTCTGATGATCAGAGCAAAGGATAGCACTGATAGGGTGACTTTTTTAGTTGCCCTGCGAACATATGCTTGTTAAACCTTTCCAATGCATGTATACAAAGTCGATCATCAACGGCATCTATTGAATTAAATGCTTTTGACTCACATAAAGAATATGCAGGAATAGTTTTTGTTTATTCTGATTCGATCTTTTTAAGTATATGTCTTCATCATCGTTTTTTTTTGAATATCAATAACTTACTCCATGACATCTTTTTTTCTCGTAAATATTGAATATTAATGAGTGAAAACGAATATGATAGTGATGCAATCGGTAAGTTTGAAAATCTTTCTTATCATATATAAATGAATATGTGTTGTAAATAGATGATGATTGCTATGATACATACTATGATGATAAAGATCCATTTCAAGATGATAATAATAATAATTATACAACAAATGTTACAAGTAATGATCCCGAACAATTTGAATATATTGTAAATACAATAAAAGAAGTTCAAACACGTTTTGAACCAATAGTATTTTCAAATTCATATATTTGTACATCATCTTCTCCAGCTATATGTTCAATATGTTTTAAAAATCAAACAAATTTCCAATCATTAATATGTAATCATGCTTTTTGTCATGATTGTTGGTCACAATATATTGATACAAAATTTCTATCTAATAATTATTTAAGTAAATTTTCTTGTTTTTTTTTTCTAAATTATGCTTATTCTCTCATTGATAATATAGATATTGAATGTATGAAATGCGATCTACGAATACCACAGAAGTAATTTAATATGAAAAATATTATCATTTTATTTTTATTTATAAATATTTCTTTTTTAAGTTTCGTTCTTGAACATTTATCGTCAGATAAGAATAAAGAGTCTTATAAAAAATTAGTTGTTAAATCAATGATTGAAGTAAAAAAATATCTACTATGAAAATAAATTTGTGATCTCGAAGAAAATATTTTAGAATAATCCACAAATGACACTTTGTCCTGGCACATGTGAACGAGTATTTCAAGCAATTGATAAACCTATACCGGGCAAAGTTGAATGTGAACTGTGTAATTTAAAATTTTGGTAAGAAAACGTTTTATTTGAAAAATTCATTTTTCGAAAAAAAAAGAGGAATTTTCATTTAGCTTTCAATGCCTATTGAGTTATCATGCACCTGCTAGTTGTGATATTATGAGAAATTGGTTAAACAAATGTCGAGATGTTCGTATTTTAAATTGAGAATTCAATTAAATTTTTTTTTCGTTTGATATTTAGGATTCAGAAACAGCAAATTATATATCAGCAAATACAAAAGATTGTCCAAAATGTAACGTATGCATTGAAAAAAACGGAGGTAAGAAATCTTTAATTATTTCTATCGGAGAATTATATTTGATTATTTAGGTTGTAATCATATGGTAAGAAGAAGAAGAAGAAGAGAAAAAAACATTGATTCGATTGAAATACATTTTATTACATTTTTAGTGTTGTTTTGCATGTAGTTATCATTTTTGTTGGATGTGTCTTGAATGTAATAAATCAATATGATTATAGAGAGAAAAAAAAAATAAAAGAACTGATTTATTTTATTAGGTTGGAAAACTCATGAAAATAATTATTATGAATGTTCAAAATATCGTGGACAACTACAATCACAACCTGAAACAAAACAAAATCGTGCACGTGAAGCATTAAAAAAATATTTACATTATTTTGAAAGAGTAATTAATTATGTGCTTATTTATTTATTATATTTATTTGTTCGTATTATATTCTTTTAGTGGGATAATCATCAAAGAAGTTTAAAACTTGAAGAACAAACAAGAGCAAAACTATTAGAAAAAATTGAACAGAATATTAATGCACAAAATGGAACTTATATCGATTGGCAATATTTAGAAAAAGCAGCTGATTCATTAGCAAAAGTGAGTTTTGTTCGAATATACATGATCGAGAATTACTTTCTTATAGGAGTGAATCTTTCTGTTCTGAATAATATTCTTTATACTAAGAAGAGTTTTTTCTATTGTCTATGTCTCCTGAGAAAAAGTTATGCTCGTCATTAATACTAACAAAAGAACATTTTATTTTTATTATGAACTCAATATCTTATGAAATTCAGATCACTGTTATTCTTATGTTCATATATAATACATATTGGATATTGCTAAAAGATGTATCTATAATTAATTAATATCTGTAAAAGAATAGGACATAGCATGAGAATATGTGATCAAATCTTTCAATGACTAACTGCATTTTTAATTATTATCTATCCTATAGTATATCTAAGGTGAAGAATCAATTACAAAATACTAAACGATTATAGGCAAGTTGAAATAATTTTTTTCAAGCTAGTTTTCTCTTCGACTTAGAACATTGATTATTCTTATTTTATAGATTGAGTTAATCTTTTTATTAAATAAAATTACATATCATAATAAGGAGATTAATAACTTCGTATAGATCAATTGACGACAATGAATATTTTGTATTTGTTAATGTACGAATTATGATGATAATTCGATTAAAATTCATAAGGTTTGTTAGCTAATGAAATGAACAGCAACTCTATTGACAAGTTTTACTAATGCTCTATAAATATTTTCTTCATAGAAAAGCTCCATAAACAGTAATATATATAAAATGATTAATGATATTCATTGTATTTTTTTTAAGGCTAGATATACTCTAATGTATACGTATCCTTATGCTTATTATCAAGAAGATACTGTTGATCGAAGTCTTGTAAGTTTATGATCATAAGTTACAAACAAGTCTAACTTATTTAATTATATATTCGTTATTTTAGTTTGAAAATATTCAAGCTCAACTTGAAGTTGAAATTGAAAATTTATCCTATCAACTTGAACGTTCAATAACACACAATCGAGGAGTAAATTATATTTATATTGTTTTAAAAAAAAATTTTATTTTCACAATTATTTAGGATATTGAAAATCAACGACATATTGTTGAACGACGTCGACAAACATTACTACTCAAATATTTTCCTAAATCAAACTCTTAGTCATCTGTTATTTGTTTTTTAATGTAATTTAATTTTTTTAAGGATTTTTCTTTGTTTGATATTAACATATGAAATAGGATTAGTTTATAAAAACAAAATGTGTTTTATTGGTTTGTTTCAGATGAACAGTGTTTGTAAAAATTAAAAGTAAAAGTTATGGATCGAGAACCTTGGTAAGAAAATAATTTCAACTCATTGATTTGTATTTTTTTCTTCATTATTTGATCTAGTCCTTGGCGTATTGTCGATGATTGTGGTGGTGCATTTGCACTAGGAACGATTGGTGGAACATTTTTTCATTCGATCAAAGGATTTCGTCATGCTCCAAGTGTAAAATTTTGATTTATTTTGTTTTTTTTGTCAATTAAGTGATATTTTCTTTTTTTTTGTAGGATCAATTCAGACGGTTAATTGGTAGTTTAAATGCAGTAAAACAACGAGCTCCTCGTATTGGAGGTAATTTTTTTGTAAATAGAAATAAAATTAATCAATTGGGTGTTTTTTGTTGTTGTTTGTCTAGCATCATTTGGTGCATGGGGTTGCACATTTTCATTACTTGATTGCAGTTTTGTTTATCTAAGAAAAAAAGAAGATCCATGGAATTCAATTCTAAGTGGTGCAGCGACGGGAGCCATTTTACAAGCAAGACGTAAATTAAAACAAAAAAGAAAAACTAAATCTTTATTTTTATGACATTTATATTTTAGAGGGACCTGCAGCTATGTTTGCTTCAGCTGTTTTTGGTGGATTTATTCTTGCTATGATTGAAGGAACTGGTATTTTGCTTAACCGTTATAATCAAATGTTTATGCCAGCACCAGCAGTGGAAGGTAAATATATCTATTCAGTATTATACTCAGTTTGCAATGAATTATTTTGTTTTTTTAATATTTAGAACCACCGGTTGACACTGATAAAGGCAAAGTTGATCTTTCTATGCCATCATTTTTCAGTTCGCCTCCTGGACAATCCTCTTCTGCATCTGGTCATTTTTCATGAAAATACTTCCTGTTGTTCTTGTTTATTTTTTCTTTCCAATCCTACTTTAAAAACAGTATCATTTATTTTTTCTTGTGTTAATCTGAAATAGTGTAACAACTGATTTCATCTATGCATAATATATGATGATGTTTCAGTTATTTTGTTTGTTTGATTTATCTTTGAGAATTCTTGATCAAAACATTTTGTTCACATGTGTGTAATTATATTTTTCCGTTTCTTTTTTACACACATTGTGAGTGTTCTCTACGTAAACATAAGAGAGAAAAATTTGATAAGGAATAAAAATTGAAATAAATTAATTTTGATTTTATTTATTAATTAAGATAAATCGATTTGTTCAAATTTATATGATAATAAGTCTTCGTTTTTGTTTTTGTTTTGTAATAAACAGCAAACTGTTATGTTAGATAACAAGAAGATTCAGCAACGCAAATATGTGAAAGTATCTGTTTGGTTTTCTTTTGGTTAGAAAAATAACTGATAAGAACTTTTATTATGTAGACCTGGTGTGTTGTCTGCGAAAGTGATATACACATATTTTTATTTTTTATGAAAAAGGGGATAACAAAGAAAAAATAACAATTGCTCTTTTGATGTTAGAATATCATTTTAGATAACTGATCATAAAACACAATGAAAAGATCATGGAATTATCTGTGGTTATTTTACATCACTATTCAACAATTTTTTCATCATGGCCAAGCAAAAACAATTGAAATTAATGCATTAGATCCATTAAAAATGGATGAAGCCTATTTAACGATTAGCAATAAAAATTATTCAAATTCAATTTTGTTTATGTATAATATGATAATATGTGAACATTGTGATTTAGATCAGTTAGGTGATGTTCTTCTAATGAACTCAAGCCAAACTTTAACAATTAGCACAAGATATCCATATGATTTTCAAGTTCTTTCAGATGAAAAAAATAAAACATTCCTATGTCAAATAAACTCATACAAATTTTCTGAACATGGTTCATATTTATTTGAAGTTATACAAACAAAACAAAATAAAAGTTCTTGTACCATAACTCAAACGAAAAAATCAAGTTATTATTGGCTACCTATTATAATTGCAATAATTATTCTTGGTATTATTGTTTTCTTTATTCAATTATGTCATCACATTTATAATTCTCGTTATTTTGGTCGTATTTTAACAAATTTTCGTCATCAACGATTAATTAATGATGAAACTGATATTACACCAAGAACAAGCCCAATGACAAATAGACAAGTACCATTGATGACACATAATGAAACTCGTAATGATGATATTGGTAGTACAGCGAATATTGATAATCCACCACCATTAGTTGAACCTCCTTATATATTGAATAATTCCAATACAACTAAAAAAGTTCTATCAAAACGTCTTCAATCATTAGATACTTTTCGAGGATTTTCATTGATGGTGATGATTTTTGTTAATTATGGTGGTAAGAATATTTCATTAATTTATTTTTTGTTTTCGTTCATATTTTTACAATTTTTATTTATTATAAAGGTGGTGGTTATTGGTTTTTCAACCATTCGGGTAAGATTATTTTTCTTAAAATATATTCCTAAGACTATTCGATTTTTTTTGGCTCATAGTTTGGAATGGTTTAACTCTTGCTGATTTGGTTTTTCCATGGTTTGTTTGGATGATGGGTGTATCAATTGTTCTATCTCAACGATCACTTCTAAAGAAGAAAGTACGAAAACTAAGTATTTTACTGAAAATATGTCGACGAACTGTAATGCTATTTTTATTCGGTACGAAAGAAGATCATGTATTTTTTTTAAATTAAATATTTTAATTGTGAATTGTAGGTTTAATTTTACAAGGTGGACATGGAAGACCAGAAGATCTTCGAATTTTAGGTGTCCTGCAACGTTTAGCATTATGTTATTTTTTTACTGCAATACTTGTACTTATTTTTGATACTTTTGAAGATGAATATAATTCATCACAATGGCCAACAGGTAAAAAAGAAAATTTTAATTTTGAACTATATGATTTGTTTATTTAGGTGTTAATGTATACCGACCAATACGAACTGAATTATCAAATACAATACTTCAATTTTGGCCACAATGGCTTTGTATTCATCTTATTGGTGTTTCATGGATTTTGGTAACTTTCGTTCCAAAATTAAGTAATTGCCCAAGAGGTTATGTAGGTCCTGGTGGCAAACATGAACATGGACGATATATAAATTGTACTGGAGGTATTATTCATATAAACTTATTGAAAGAAAAAAAATATATATATATATATATAATTAAATAATTATAGGAATTGCTGGATATCTTGATCGAGTTATATTAGGAAGTTCTCATATATTGAATGATCCAACATGTAAAGTGATTTATAAAACTCAAATACCATATGATCCTGAAGGTAAAATTAAAAAAGAAAGAATCATCTATCATATTTTCTTCGTTTATTTATAGGACTTTTAGGTATTCTTACTGGAATAGTTCTTTGTTATCTTGGTGTTCATGCTGGTCATACTTTTATTTATTCAACACGTGTTCGTCGTGTTTGTGCACATTGGATTGCATCAGGTTTTATTTGTGGATTTTTAGGTTTACTTTTATCGGAAGGTGGTCATTCGGATAGTTGGATACCAATTAATAAAAATCTTTGGTCATTAAGTTTTATATTTATTTTAGCTAGTCTTGCTTTTATAATCTTAACAATACTTTATCTACTTGTCGATGTTTTTAAATTATTTACAGGTGAACCATGGCTTTGGTTAGGTATGAATTCCATTGTTCTCTATGTTGCTCATGAAGTTTGTTCGCAAAGTTTTCCAGTACAATTTGAAGTTACTGGAACACATCCGAAATTACTTGCATTACATGTTTATGGTGCCCTTTTTTGGACTTTGATTGCTGGTATAATGTATTACAAGAAAATTTTTATTGCCATTTAAAAATTTTTGTGATAATTTTTGCTTTTTATTATTTTATTGATTATTATTTTCGAGAGATTCTTTTTTAAATTATTCATATGACATAAGTGGAATATAAATTCAATAAAATTTATAAATATTAATTTAGTATAAAAGAAATTAGATTTTTTTCAATAGTGTAGAAAATAAGAAAGCTAAAGATGTAGTCAATAAAACTTTGTAAAAACGTTTATATGACCAATGTGTTCCATCATTCAATGCACTTCTATTGAATTGCTTGAGAACATTAAGAAATTCTTTGTTTTGTATTGAAAGTGGAAGCAAAAGGAAGGAAAAAAACCACGGTCTTTTGGCTACATTGGGATATGAAGTGCTACATAGCGATAGATTCATTAACCTGATATATTTCCTACAACTAATACTAGCTGTAACTTTGGACAGAAGGTTGATTTGATGCAGAGTTCTTACGCTCAATCTTATCGAATGAATGATTCAAGACAAACAGCCATTAGTGATTTGTTCAGAATCATTCTATGGTTAATGCTACCGAAGTTTGAATACAGTATATATTGGATATGCTACTCGGCATGACGGCTGTATAGAAAGAGACTTTTGATATAGAATAGTGTCTGTAAAGTTTCTCAATAGTTTCTGTTTTATGTATTTACTAACTAATTACAAGATTTCATGTATTATTTCAAAATAAACTCCATACACTATTCAGCAGTTGATCTCATGAAAATTTATCCATGATTATTGAAGCAAAGGTTCAACCATAAGAACTATAATTTTTAATAACTTACTCCCTCTATCGATACATTCTATTGATTGAAACAAGAAACCTATGTATTTGTTTTCTGTCAATTCAAATGTCTTCATTGTCTTTCACATAACTTTGAAATAACGTATTGTTCATTTTAGATTGTTGTATTTAATCGAGAAAAACAAAAAAAATAAATAAAAGAAAGAATGGTTGGTAAAGTAGAACTCATACCAATTGCAGAAGGCACTCGTATTACAGTAAAAGAAAATGAAAAAGTTATTGTTGGACGTGGTTCATCATTAGGCGTATGTTCATTTAATCTATGTTTAAAATCATAATCTATTGTTTATTTAATTTAGTGTAATGAAAAAAAAATTTCTCGTCATCATGCAGAATTATTACTCAAAGATGATAATAGTCTTTGGATAAAACCAACACATGCAAATCCTGTATTTTATCGTCCATTAAATGGTAAAACAATTCAATTAACAAAAGATATTGAACGAGAATTAAACGATGGTGATCAAATTGGTTTACTTCCATCAAGTTTTTTCTTTCGTGTTAGTTTTACTACTGATGAAAATAATAATAATGATAAAAATACTGATTCCGATTCGGATTCACTATATGCATGGAAAAAAGATGATAATTTATCACCTGTACGTGCAACATCACCTGATCAATGGTCACCTACACATGGTTATCGTCGTTCAATTAGTAATCAAGATACATCAGTTTTTGATTTTGAAGAAGATGCTAATGATGAACCAGCACGAACACCATGTAAACGTACTTCATTCGAAAAGAAAACTTCGTCAGATGTTGAACCAAAACCACGTATTTCAATGCCTGTTCCTACAGTTGCTCTAACTCGAATTTCTGTTCCACCACCATATGTAGACAATCAAGTATGTTTTTATTGTTATTTTTTTTTCTTACTTTATTGATTTAATTTTTAGGATGAAATTGAACCAATTAATACGAATCATGAACCACGTAAATTACCTAAATGGATGGCAGCACCAACTCCATCACCAATAACTAAACAGACAACTACTACACCTAAATCTTCCTATTCAAGAAATTCATCAAATACTGCTTCGACTAATGCTAAACGACACTGTATGTTTCTATTTTATTGAATATGAATTTGAAAAGCTAATTTTTGTTTTTCTTATTCATAGTAAGTTTTGAAGGTGATAATAATAGTGATTTGAATGAATCATCAAATATGTCAGGTAAAATTTTTTATTATAAATTTATTATCTTATTTATTATTTATATTTAGATATTCGATCACCAGTAACGCCTATTGAAACAAAATCTCCAGGAAAAGTATTAAGTAAAATACCTTCAACAAGAAGTTTGGATAGTGATAGTGCAGATGGTTTTGATTTTGTGGCATCAAAAATAACAACAACACCACCACCATCACTACCAAAAAAAAGTAATTAGAAATATCTGGAGGTTTTTTTTCTTATCTCATTGATTATTAAACGAATATTTAAATTTAGTTAAACCAGGTAGTAAACGTCGTCCAATTTGTCAATTTGGTGCATCATGCTATAGAAAAAATCCTATTCATCGTGCTGAACAATCACATCCAGGTGATAGTGATTATGACGATTCAAAACAATCACATGATAATGATAATAATGATGATAACGATATTGATAGACCTTTATGTCCATTTGGTAAATCATGCTATCGACAAAATCCTCAACATAAACGTGATTTTAAACATTAAATACAATGTGCTTTTTTTTCGTACAAATTAGGTTTCCGGTGATATACTGGCATTCTATTGTATAAAGTAGTTATTCATATTATGAATTATTTAAATGTATTGGTCAGATAGAAGAATTTTGAATTATAGAACATAGTTTGAATACTAGAATATTGTTAAAGTCATTTTTCTTTTTGTAGATGTCTGATAATGAGAGTGCACTTGTTAATCTATTAAAAAAACGTATAAATGTTTTAACTTACAAAACATTAGATGAAAATGAATATAATCAAACTTATTTTAAACATTCTGGTTTAACAAATGTTGATATTCGATCCTATCAATTATATGGAATTCGATGGCTTATTGAGCGATATGAAGTAGGACATGGAGCAAGTGAGAGAGAGATTGAATTTTTCTTATTGAGAATTAATTTAATAAAATATTTCTATAGTTCTAAGTGATGAAATGGGTCTTGGAAAAACATTACAAGTAAGACTTTATGAGATTCAAATGAAGTGATTAGTCATTATATATATATATATATCTAGACAATTGCATTTTTATTATATGTATGTAAAGTAAAGAAACAATTGCCATGTCTTGTAATTAGTCCACTATCTGTCTTACAAAATTGGACAAAAGAATTATCACGGTAATAAAATTGTTAAAATAGAATCGAAAAAAATGAATAAAACTTTGTAAGATTTGCTCCTGGATTAAATGTACAAATATACACCGGTGCCAAAGATGAACGAAATGAACTAGCTGAAACGATCAAAAAATCTACATTCGATATTTTATTAACAACATATGAATATATTATAAAAGATACATCATTTTTTCAATCGTTTACTTGGAAAGTTTTAATTATTGATGAAGCACATCGAATTAAAAATTCTCAATCACTTTTACATGGAACTCTCAAAACGGTTTGTTTATTTCTTTTTCTCTTGAAAACAAAAAGACTATAATTTAAATGATCAATATTTAATTACAAAATGATCTATGAAAAAATACAACATTTTATTAGCAGAGTTTTTGTATGAGTATAAAATAGGGTGTAAGTGTGGATTCGAATAGGTTTTCATTTCATTCACATCCACACACCTTTATAATCATCGTGCTCAGCTTCAGTTTAACAAACAATAACTTTTTTCACTGTCTAGGAGATATAGCAGATAAATACTTGTTCTACATTAAGGTCAATGATGTTTGGCTTTATTGCATTTGTAATAAACTCTTCTCTAATTTTATGTATAGTTCGTATAATGTTTTGACCATTCATTTTCAATTCATGTTTCTGCTCTATCAATATTATCAAATGTAGCTTCATTAATCCAATATATTGATTTCTTGTTTTGGCAAATCACTTTCCTTTCTATTTATTTCGTAGTTTTCTTCCATAGTCACTTCATCTGTAACATCATCTTCATATTGAGCAAGTTGTATCATGCTCATCTTTTTTTTACTTGTGGGTTCAAGCGGCAATCGGAGGACAGGAAACAAGTAAAGATTAGCTACATATATGTGATACATAGCATTTGTACTACATGATATAAGGAAACAAAGAAAGCAGGAAAAAAGGTGAATCAAATTATAAGACATGTCATTTTCTATATATATTTACTCTTTGATTTAATTGACTGTAAGTAAGTTTTATTAACTAATCGTTAAATTTATTAACAAACCTAATTCATTACTAATTGACTATTTAAGTAATTTCCTGATCATTCATTCAATATACTGGTTTTATAATTATTTAACTTACTGACCAAATATTTTGTTCTCAAAAATAAAAACTAAGTATAACATTTTTAGTTGAATGCATCATGTCGAATTCTCCTTACTGGTACACCAATTCAGAATAATCTATCTGAACTTTATTCATTATTATCATTCTGTGCACCGAATATATTTCATCCAAGACATCATGAAGATTTTGTACAATATTTTCGTAATATTAATACAGATGAAAGTAATTGAAATAGTTAATTTTTTTTTTGTTTTCGAATTTTTTATGTTTATTTTATATAGCTCGTAAGAAAATCTTAATTGATCTTTTAAAACCATTTATTTTACGACGATTAAAACGTGATGTTCTTACTGATTTACCAAATAAAACTGAATTAATGATTTTTCATGATTTATCAAAAGTTCAAAAAGAACTTTATAAGGCTATATTAACAAAAAATCGATGTATGAATTTTTGTTTCGAAAGAAAAAAAATGTATATATGTTAAGATTATTCTTATCTTTTGTTTTAGCAATATTTGGTTCGAGTGAAGCAGGAAGTAAAACAAGTTTAGTGAATATAATGATGCAATTAAGAAAAGCTATTGGACATCCATATTTATTTCCTGGTATTGAACCTGAACCATTTGAAATGGGTGAACATTTAAGTAAATATTTATTTATAATTTATTTAAAATAAATAATTTCTTATGATTTCTTTTTTTAGTTGAAGCAAGTGGTAAACTTCATATTTTGGATCATCTTCTTGCACATTTATATGCTAAAAAACATAAAGTACTTTTATTTTCACAATTTACAACTGTTCTCGATATTTTACAAGATTATTTAACTTATCGTGAAATCTATAAATATGAACGTGAGAATTTCTTTCAATTCATAAAAAAAGATAAAAATTTTTAAATATTATTTATATAGGTTTGGATGGATCGGTACGAAGTGAAGAAAGATTTTTAGCTATTAATAATTTCAGTGTCAATGATGATACATTTATATTTTTATTGAGTACAAAAGCAGGTTAGTAGAATTTACATATGTATGTTCGAAGAAAGTAGTTAGTGTAAGTTTAAATCGAGAATTTTATGGCTTTTCCTTTCCTAGAATTTCTCAGTAATAGGAAAGACGGTGAACACTATTATTGTGAATGTTCTAAATAGTTCTTTTTTTTTTAATTGTTTTTGTGCAGATAAAAAATTTATATTCAAGATATCAAGAACGATGAGTAGTGATTCATTGATTTGTAACAATCATCTTATGATCAACATAGAAAGTGTGAACTGATCAAGTTATAACTTTGAAAAATAATCAATATCAACGTTTCTAAGCTTATTAAGATATATAATAGTTCTTTGAGACCTGCTGCTGCAGATACAATTGATATGTACAACATGGCTTATTTGCCAAATAAAACAATTGTCAGAATAATAATACTAATAATATCGTTAAATTAAGAAAAACAGGATACAAAAATGAATAACAAGGCAAACTAAAAATAGAGCTTCAATAAAAAAAAAAAGCAATAATCGATTATCTTTGGGACACAGCTATAATCTTCTAGAGACTTTTCACTTTAAGTATAATGAGGCTAAAGAATACATGTAAGTTCCATATTTTAGCCTCAAAAAGGTTGAGCTAATAAGTTCTTTTTATTTTGATTTTATTTTATTTTTTAATATTTTAAGGTGGTGTTGGTTTAAATCTTGTTGCAGCTGATACAGTTATATTTTATGATTCGGATTTCAATCCACAAAATGACTTACAAGCAGCTGATCGATGTCATCGTATTGGACAGAAAAGGTAATAGATATTATGGATAGAAACTCGTAAAGAGTACCTTATTTTAGACCAGTACGAATTATTCGTCTTGTTTGTCAAAATTCGTTTGAAGGTTTGAAGAAATTCTTTTTTTGTTTTTTTAGTGTTTCTTATATAATGAAATATTTTTCTAATTATAGAGGTAATTCTTCGTCGAGCAGAAGCAAAATTAAAATTATCTAAAACAATTATGGAAAATAGTGAATTATCATCTGGTTTAAATACAGTCATAGAAACGAAAACACAAGTTTGTACTATTATACTAATAAATTAAGATTATAGAATTATTATTGTTTATAGCTTCAAGATGTACTTAGAATTGGTATTGATAAATTATTAGATGAAACAGAACAGATGGATTATACTAAAATTGATTTCGCTGCTAGTCTTGGTAAAACAGATAAAAATGGTCATTGGCTTGCTGTTGAAGAGAATAAAGAAAATGAAAATGAAGATAAACAATTTCAATCGACAGATATTAATGATGATAATATGTACATATTCGAAGGTGTTGATTATCGTAATGCTGCTAAAAAAGTTGATATTGATCTATTTGATCGTCTTATTATTAATGATGAAAATGAAAATAGTACAGCAACTAGTTCATCAAATCAACGTTTTACCGAACGAACATCACGACGTCAAATGACTGAAGAAGAAAAAGCAGCACGTGCAGCTAAAATTCGTGAAACAAAAGCTCAACGAAAACAAGAAATAGTAATATATAATATTCATATTGTGATAATTTTCTAATAAATATCTTTCTTCTATTAGGAAGAAGCAGAACGAAAACGTGAAGAACGACGTAAAGTGAGAATAGAACAATTATGGGCATCAAAGAACTATAGTTCATGTCGTGTGTCTATATCAGATGATGAAGATGAAGAAACTGATGAAACAGAACTAACAGATACTGAAGGTATATAATTCAAAAATATTCTTTCAATAAAATTGAAGAACTTTGTTATTTTTTAGATGATAGTACTGGTGAAACGAAGTTACACTATATATTTGGTGATGTAATGAAACCTCAATTACATGGAGAGAAATGTGCTATTTCAGTTCATTGTGTTGGTAACTAAATTTTGATTTGATATCATAGCTTTCGTCTCGTTCTGTTTAGGAGAGGAAAGAGTTAACGGAGAAAATCTCTCAAAGCTACAGAGAAATCAATCTTTTTTATTTCAGTTGAGACTTTTCATACTCTCGTTGTCAATCGTAAACACATTTTCGTTTGTCGTTATTTCTTGTGTTAGTAAATTCGTAAAGAAATTTCTCATCAATCGAAACAAATATATTTTTACTATACACAAAAACTGTTTACGTCAACGGAATGCTTCGATTGAAACATGTTAAGTAAAAAGACATTTGAAATTGCTGTTCAGCTATTAAACTGGATTTCGCAAATAATATTCTGCAGTATCTATTAAATGAATTTTTAGATATGTTAATAAGAAGGTATTTTATTGATAATTTATTCTAGATGATTCTGGTCGATGGCCATCCAAAGGTGTATTTGCTTCAATTTCTCAACGTTCAAAAGAACCAGAAAAACAGTATACATTTCTAAACTTTGTATTATATTGATAATTCACTTTCGTTTCTTTGTTTTTTAGATATACACTTGCTTCAGAAATGCAAGATATTCATATGGGTGATACTCATCTAATTTCATTGAATGATTGTGGTGTTGATGATGATGATGAATTATTATGTGATCAATATGTAGCTTTGATTGTTGCTCAACATCGAAATAAATTTGATTTTACTGCTCTCGATTCGGGTAAGTCAAAATTTTTAATGTTATGGATTAAAATACTTTTTCTGAAAATTTTATTGACTAGCTCTTAGAAGTCTAGGTAAAACAGCAAAAGAATTTAAAGCAACTGTTCATTTACCTCGTATTGGTGTTGGTTCTCATGGTAAATATGATTGTAATTAAATTTAAATTTATAACTTATTTTTATAATTTAGGTTTTAATTGGTATGGTACTGAAAAATTGATCAAAAAATATTTATCTTCTCGTGGTATTCCTACATATATTTACTATTTCAAACGTGAAAGTATTACAACGAATAATAAACGATCAAATGAACAATCATATGGAAATAGTAAACGATTATCTATTGAAAGTATGATTTTTTTTTTGATAATTTAAAAAATTTTTTTTTTCTTTCAGAGAGCATAAACAATAAAAATCAATTAAAACTTCATTTGCCTAGTTATCTATCTGGTGTAAACATCTTTTTTCATGATATTGATGAGAATACAAAAAAAAGATTACAACGTTTTGTTTATGCGTATGTATACAATTCAATACGTTTTTTTTTTCTTACTAATATATCATGAAATTTTCTATTTACATTCAGTTTTGATGGTGATGTTAATGAAATAGCGGATCCTAATGCAACAACACATATTTTAGCTCCAGGTAATTGTCAAGACATACTCGCTTTACAAGATGCTTGTCCAAATGCTCGTGTTATTAATATCGAATGGCTTGATGCATGTGTCAGTCAGGGAACACGACTCAATACAGATATTTATGAACTGTGATATTTTGTATTGATATATGAACAATGAAAACAAAATCTTATTTTTGAGGAAAAAAAAAGAAAGAAAACCACTATTTTTTTTTGTGCATATTGTTTTGTCCTCTTCGCTTTTTTTTTGTGTATCGATCACTTTATGGTTATATTTTTGATGGTAATATTGAATTACTCGATGAATTTTATAACTAATAAGAAAATAATTCCAGAAAAATGAGGAAATGAAAATTCAATATACCGAGTATTTTTCATATTGTCAAAGTCTTAATTATTATTATGTGATATTATTCTCACTATTATCATGTGTTCTACTCAGTATTTTTATATGATTTCAATTCACGTCTCATTTTAAACTGTTCTCATCGTGACACTAGATTTTTAACTCGGCAGATGTATTCAATATAGACTATAAGCGAAATCATAGAAGAACAGAAAATTAGTGAACATGCAAGAAGAAAACAGTAAAAAAATAACCTGTTTTTTACCCACAAGTCGTTGAATTAGAAGGCTGCAAATGAAGAAACAATGATTGAAGATGAATGTCGTTGAAACGATAGTAAGCTTCTGTATTCAATTTGATGATGGCAGTGAAATAATTTCTAATATTATTGAAATTCACAGAAAGATTGTATCTAAACATAAATTATATAATATTATTTCAGAGAACAAATTCAAGAGTGTATTGTAAAGAAAATAGATGATATAATCTTTTACTCTAAGCAAATAGCATCAGTTTCTGTATTGATAACTGAAAATTGTTCATTAACTATCTAATGAATTTGTTGAATAATTTAAAAGTTCAATCGAAGCTAGATTCACATCATAGACAAAATACTTATTTAATGACGAAACCTAGTATGAAATTTAGAAATTGGTTTTTGACTTTCTTATATAATGTCAAATATTCAAAAAAATCCATAGAAATGTCAATTGAAAAGAACATTTCACAAACGAATAGACTTTATAGATAGTAAATAATCTATGAAAGAATAAAATAGCAGATTTAGTTGAAAAAACAATTTTATCTCTTTTACAAAGCTCTATATTTCTTTGAAAAATAAATTCAATGTGTTGAATAAATTGATTGCAAAAGTATGTATCGTTTGAGTAAACTGAAATTTGATGTCATATTTACTGTCTTTAGCTTTTACTCAAAAAAGATTATTCTAAGTAAGCCGATTTAGACGGGTGGCAGTGTATCTGTCGCTTAGACATGTTGAAATATACGACGAATAAGAAAAAAAGCTTCAAATGTATCAGCCTCGCAGAGAGAACGAGACTCGGCAATATCAACTTTTTAGCCATGAAATAGAATTGACAAATTCTGAATTATGTACAAGAATTCGCTAACATTTATTCCATCTTAGATTTCATATCGAACCCATAGAAGCTTGAGATTACCTATTATTGTCATAAGATCTCCTTTAAATGCAAATTTCTATTTGTTAATTGAATTTGATAGTGAAGATTTGACTTACTCTATTCATCGAAGTATTTTTGATGTCGAACAATTAGCCTTGGATGCAAAATGTTAGCGCTTTGGTGACAATGCTCAAGACAACCTGACATTATTGTCAGGGAAGACAAAGTTACTCACTTACCTCGGACTTAGGATATGTTACTGAGCACTGCCTCTTTCTTCTGTTTTGTTATTAGTATCTTGAAGACTACTAATACTATGAGCAGTTGTTAATGTTAATGAAATAATCTCAAATGAATTTGAAGACATAACAGGCAGTCAATGAAAAGTGATTGATGAAGAAGAGAATGAATTAGCATTCGAATTTGAATCAATCTTGTTTTTTTTCTTCATCAGTATATTCACTGATGTGAGGAAAAATCGACATGACATGTTTACAATAAAATTGCTCAGTGAATTTGACTACACATAAATAAAATGTATTCAGCATTGCTGTTAAACTTCTTTTCATCAATAAGATAATTTTCGAAGATTGATTCATTAAAGATTTCAGATAACTTTCAGACATATATCCATATATAAAAATCATTATAACTCTTTTCAAATATATCAAACAAAACAAACTATGAAAAAAATGTCATATATTAATGACGGCAATTAACATAAAATATTACTTATCACGTAGTACAAAAGAATAGAAACCTATCTGATCTCATTATCGAATGATCAATTTTGAAGATCAATCCATCGTAAAAAACATTGATATATACAATAACACATTTCTATTTTATTTATTTTCCATTTTACTTCAATTTCAGATAATAATCATTGGATAGCTTGACATGACTTATCATTTTCGTATAACTTACTGTTAGTACTATGATATTTCATGGTCATAAATAGATATTGATACATAAAATAAATCTCATCATATAATCTTCAAATTAAATTGATGCTTTTGCATTCATAATTCTATTCAACAAAATCATCAATGTCTTGAAAATAAATTTTTATGAATCGATTATGGACTGTATGGTTTAAAATACTAATACTAACTAAGTAACTTGATTGAAGTACTTTCTCAAAAAAAAAAAAAAAAAACACTTTTTGAAATTGTTATGCTATGATTTCTGATATTTCATCAAAGAAAGCAATATTTATACCATATTGATCATGAAGCTTGATTGCAATTTCTTATCAAAGTTTAATCACATTTTCTTTCGATTATCTTAATTGTCTCATGTCGTTCGTGAGTATTATTTGAACAGATTAGCTTTGCATATAGACGGCTACATTATGTCTTTATTTAGTAATAAAACGTACTTTGTATAACACAAAAAAAAAAAATGGCCAATTAAGCACCTGCATCGGATGAAAAAACAAGGTGTACGCCATGTACACGATATAATTTTTCTGTTTTAATAAAAAAAAAATAATTTTTTGATAAAGAATATAAATAATTTATAATTTGCTAGATTAATAGATCTAAACTAGTTTTACAATAATATATTTCTTCAATACTATTCTTTTTAAAAGGCTTGATTATCAACTTTTTAATTTAGGTTACGTAAATTTCCAATCCTTTTTTTTATCATTAATATTTTTATTTGAACTATCTTTGACAAATAATAGTACGCTTTTGTAGTCAAGAAGACATCAAAAAAAAAATAAACCCTTAGGCATCATTTCCTTTTCGTCTCATTTCATCAACATTATCGGTCATATATCTTTTTCTCAATACCATCGATTTCGCAATCCTATCTAATTCAGTTATTTTCTGATCTGCTCAAAAATGTGGTAAAAGCTTTTGCTGTGATTCATTAATGTTGATAGTTTACATGATCAGTTAACAAGGTGCTCAATCAAAATATTTTTTTAGACAATATACTAATAAGACTTTATTGAGGATGAACCAAAGATAAGCAATACAAACACTATGTGCAAAAAAAAATTGATGTAGGACTCATCTTGTTTGTTGTTCGACAAACTGATGTTATTTTCAAATCAACTAAAGGCAACTATAAAATTCAAGATGACTTTTTTTTATCTTTCAGAAGAACTTATGTATGATAAAAGAATTTTTTCTCTACAAACATACACATCGTAGTTCTCTTTATTATTAAATTCATTGATATTCTCCTTAAAATGTTTATGTTGAGACAATTTTTTTGTTCGAACTAATATAAAAATAAAACTTGAAAGTATTTGATTAAGAATCAAATAAGTCAAGAAGTGTATATCTTGACGACCTAGAGCTGTCAACAATAGAATAAGAGAACAAGTGGATACTGATCCATATAAAATTGAATCGAGCTTAACAATTCATCATGATCACAAAAGGAGTTCATTCTTAACAGAATAGTTTGCATTGATAATCTATAGAATCAACTTTTTGTTTTTTATACTTCAATGGATTACTAATAGAAACATTTCATTTAATAATTACAAAGTCATTATCTCTCTTTGTAATTCGAGCTACAAAAAAAAGCAAAAATAATTCGTTTGCACTTGTGTTCTCTCTTGCTACATCTGAAAGCCACAAATCACTAAGTAATGAAAAGGATAATGTTTTAATTGATAAATAAATATAAAAATTATTCAAATTATATATTTACCATTGTCAATAAGCAAAAACTAAACGTTTACAATATGTATCTAAATGTATTAATACAAATTTCATTGAGACAAATAAGTATAGTAATGATGTAGAAATCAATACTATATTTATTCACATATTTTATCACATTTCTTTATAGGTAATGAAATCTCCATCTTCATTCACATTCACTTCAAAAAAAAAAAAAGCCTATGTGAACATGATAATGAAGTAAGAAGTGTATCCTTAGAGTAAGTAATAATCATTCTGTTTCAAGTAAAAAGATAAGACATTCTTTTATTCAAGGTAACAATCCTCATAATCACATGATAGACAAACAAATATTGCTTTCAATACAAACGAATGAACTTTATCGAACAGTATTAGTAACATTATCTAGTATTTTTTTGTTCGTAAGTTTGAAGGATATACTACTCATTAAAAATAAAGTTTATTTTCTATAATATTTTCAAAATATTCATGTATCTAACAATAAAAAACTTCAATAAATAATTTAATTCATACTTGGCAAAGATCTCATTATAATAGAATTCAAATGATTAGAAATACAAAGTGTTACTCTGATTATGTATTACAACTATCATTAAATCTATCCTTGAATAAAAGTACTATCAATATAATCCATCTATAAAAGAAAATTAATACGAATTGCAAACTAAAAGAAAAATGAGAAGCAAACAACTAATATACTTCATGAAATTTGATCCGAAATTGGAAGTTTGTATGGTAGTTGATGGAATAAAAGCAATATGATGAAATTTTCTATGTCAAACAAGAGCGACATCTAATAAAACAACACTAAAAATTTATAGAGGACATCATTCATCGAATATGATATATTCGTTCAATGATATATTCAACTCTGTTCTCTCTCGTTCTCATCAATTCTTTTCATTTACATCTATTGCTTGTTCTCATATTGAAAACAACTCTTCGCCAGTAGCTAGTCATCTTACAATCATACTCACTGCTTTAGTTCACGTTAACTGAACAAATAAGCAATCGTCTATGTATGCGTCTACCTTTTTCTCCTCCCTTTTCTTCTCTATTGCCTTGTTGCTATCGTTGAATTAGTCGTCGCATTATAATGTTTGTATATACATACGTAGACAGTCTCGTTTGTTCATTTTAGATTTTATTTTCGACTCGTCGTGTATATATATATTAATTATATTATCCGATGATGTCTTCAACAAATGGAACAAGTGCATTACGAGTTAATGTTGCATTATCTGAACGTGATACAATTAAACTTATACTCGATTTTCTTCAACAACGTGAACTTTATATTAGTATGCTTGATATAGAACGTGAAACAGGTATATTTTAAAAAGCAATTATCTTTTTTTTTTTCGTTCTCATTCATATCTGATTTCATTCAATTGACATTGTATCTGGTTTTTTTCTTCTCAATAATAGGCATTATAAATGGATCATTTTCTGAAGATATACTTTTCTTACGGCAACTAATTTTAGATGGTCAATGGGATGATGTTATTGATTTTGTTCAACCATTAAAAACTATTGATTCATTTGATGCTAAACATTTTATTTATATTGTACTAAAATATCAATTTCTTGAATTATTATGTTTAAAAACTGAAGCACAAATTGAAAATGATTTATCTGTTGAACAAATTGTTAAGTTAGTTAAATTAAGTTTTTTTTTTTGGATTTTTTGAATTAATAAAATAATTTTCTTTTCTTTTCTTCTTTTTTAGATTTCTTAACGATTTAAGACCATTTACACCAAATGAACAAGAATATAAAAAATTATCATTTTTACTTACACTTAAACGTTTACAAGATCATAATGATTATCGTAATTGGAATCCAAGTGCTGGACGTGTACAATGTTTTCAAGAAGTATTTCCACTTGTTCATCGATTTTTACAAGTAAATTTCTTTCTTTTTTTTTTGGTCGAATAATGATTTCACTTTCTTTTTTTTTGTTTATTTATTTAATCCGTATATATACTACAAGAGTATAAATGACATATTGTTAATCCCTATGTTTTTTAGGTGGATAAACAAACAATTTCTGTTGCACAAGGAGATCGTCTTATTCAATTACTTGTCAAAGGTTTACTTTATGAATCATGTGTTGAACATTGTCAAGCACGTGCAACAAATACTGATGAAACAATTGATTTAACTGATCCAAATAGTTTATTAGCAAATACACATTTATCAGATACAGATGTTTCATTACTTTCATGGCTTCATGCATTACCAACAGAAACATTTTCATGTCCATTTGAACAAAAATCTTTAACATTAAATATTGATAAATTTCAAAAACCAATTCTTGAAGCAACATGGGCTGAACATGTTTTAAGTACACCATTTAAACCACAAACAATGTTTCCATTTAATGCAACACCAACAGGTAAACCACGTTCAACAGAATTAATGTCACGTTCATTAGCACCACAATATGATGGTTTATCTTATGGTCTTATACGTTCACAAATTTTTGGTGATTATAATCGAAATTTTGTTAATGATATGAGTCGATCATTAGCTATATGTAATCTAAAAGATAATATCAATAATAATATAAATACAGTAGCAACAACACCATTACCAACTGTTGAAGAAGTTCTTCAAGAAGATACACCTTCATTATCAACACCACCACGTACATTATCACCAGCAGCAAATATTATATCTCCACAAACAACGCATCGAACACAATCACCAAAACGAAGTGTTAATGGACCACAATATACAAATAATAATATATCATCATCAAATGATATTATCGGACAACAAAATATTTCATCAACGAAGTCGGTCGGTGAACCTAGTCATTTGAATAATAGCTATGTATATAAGCCAACAAATGGTAAAATTATAAATGAAAATGGTAATCGATCACCAAATAATAATCAAACAATATCACAGTAATTAATAGATTGTTGTCTTTTGTTTTAGAATTTTAATGTATTAAGAATTTTATTCATTTTAGAAATATAAATAATCAACAAGCAGACGCATCAAATGATCGTTTACTTAAAGTAAATGAATATTGATATTTTTTTGTTTGTAATAATTTTTATCTTAAAGGAATATCAAAAAAGTCGTGCAGAAATTATTCGACAATTTGATGAACAGGAAACACGACGAAATGAATTACAAAAACAACTTAGTAAGTTTTGTTTTTCTTACTAACGAAGAAACATTTTCAATTAATCAATTGAAACGTGCCTTTGTAAGTCATTATCCATCAAATCAATCCTATTTATTTTTAGCATCATCTTCTACAAATCCAAAAATTCGAGCAATTAATGATGTAACTAAATATGATTCTCTTGAAGTATATATATATATATCTTTTATTCTCAATTCAAAAAAAAAAGAATTCATTCTTTAATTACAGGATATCGCTCGTTCACCAGCATTTATTCCATTAGCATCTGTTGAAGATGTTCAAGCTATACGTGCTATTGATGTACATCCAAGTGGAAAATATTTTGCTGTTGGTTCAAATTCAAAAATGTTACGTATTTGTGGATATCCAGATATAAAAAATATTCGTACAGATACTGTAACACAACCAGCAAAAATTTTCTATAAAAAAGGCAAACATCATCTGGGTAGTATTTATTGTGTAGCATGGTCACCAAGTGGTCGAATTATTGCAACAGGATCAAATGATAAAATTATTAAACTTGTTCGACTTAATATGGATAGATTAGAAGATGAATCAAATCGTATGTACTAATTATTGTTACAAAAAATAAACAAATACATAAATCAATTTTTTAAAATTTGACTTATTTTTATGTTTTAAGATACAGAAATTGAATTATCATATCATAATGGAACTATTCGTGATGTTGTTTTTATGCATGATAATTTAAAAGATGATTCAATTTTATTAAGTGGTGGTGCTGGAGATTGTAAAGTTTATGTTACAGATGTTAAAAAGCAAACACCTATTAAAAGTTATAGTGGTCATCAAGGTATAAAGATTTATCTAGTTTTTCTTACAAGATTCAATCTAACCAGTATTTTGTTCAGCATAAGGATGACACCCCTTCGAAGGTCGGGTTGGCTCTTCCAAAAAAAAAAATTCTGAAATTAAACACTGGACCTAAGAGTAGTATGGAAGTATATGATGAGAAGTTTGGATCCTCTTCATCTCTACTGATTGGTACAGGCATGATCTATTGTGAGGTTATTATTGAATGTTGAATTTTATAGCAAGAGTGTTAAACCTTTGCGCCCTTATATACTCGATCAATCTATGAATTGAGAGTAGATGTTTTTCTTTCACCTTAAAATATTTGTGTATAAATATTTTTTCATCGAAAAAATAGATAAATCGAATGTCATTTGATGGAATTCTTATTTTACATTTTAATTCCATAGAGTTTATGCTAAAGATATATTATTTTATCGAGCTGAATGACATTCAAACAAAATCATAGCTACAATGCGAATAATGTTGATAGATGATAAAAAGTAGACGATGACAACACCATAGTTGTTGACATATTTCACGACTCAATTGTATGTCATCTAGACAAGATATGATTGACAAACTTGAAATAAATCCTTGTCCTTTTCACTATTTATAACAAAAAAAAGTCAATTAGTGTGTCCTAGAAATTGAGTTCTCAATAATCTGTACATTTTTTTTTTGAATGAAATTTATCAAATATTTCAAATACAATATTAATTATTCTAGGTCATATATATTCATTGTTTGCATGGGATGCATGTAGTTTTGTATCGGGTAGTCAAGATGGTACATCACGTTTATGGGATATTCGTCAACCTAATTGTGTTAATGTCATTGCACCTCGTCCTTCAAGTATATAAATCGATATTAAAAAAAAAAAACAAAGATATTTTATTAATATGAATTTTATTTTTATTACAATAGATAGTGCAGTTTCAGCAGTAGCTGTTGATAATTCTGGTCAATTATTAGCAGCCGGTTATGAAGATGCTTCATGTTTACTTTATGATCTACGTGGAAAACGTGTTGTACAAGTATATCAACCACATTCAAATGAAATTCGAAGTGTTCGTTTTTCTGTACATTCATATTATTTACTTACAGCTTCATATGATAAAAAAGTTGTTATGACAAGTTTAAATGGTAAGAAATTTTAATGTTCTTTTTTTGTTGAATTATTTAATTTTATTTCAAAAAAAAAAAAAAGGTGATCTTACTAAACCATTAGTTTTATCAAGTGTTGCTGCACATACAGATAAGATTATTCAAGCTCGATGGTACGTCAAATTTTTCTCTTTGGATGTTGAATGTATTTTTATTTTTGAATATTTTAGGCATCCAAATGAAATGTCATTTGCTACAACAAGTGCCGATCGTACATGTTTAGTTTGGGCGCCACCTCTTTCCGCTTTATCTACTCTGGCACAGTCACCATAAACAAAAATTAAACCTACCGAACAAAATTCGATGTTTTAATCTCATTTGTGTTTTTAGTTTTCTTTTTTTTTTCTTGTTCTTGTAATTCTATACGAATAATAATGCAAACAAAAAAAAAACAAAAAGAAAGAACTTAGATCTGGTTTTTTTTGTTTGCTTGTCTATTTATATTGATGAATTTTGTCGTTTGCTTTTTCATCTAGTATTAGTGCGGTTCCCCTTTTGGAAGCAAAGATTTTGGCTTTCTTTTTTTTTCGTTGCTTTAAAAATAATGCGCAAATGTGCCGATAAAAGTTTATTTGTTTTATTCAATTGATGTATATTTTTTTTTCTTTTTTTTCTTCGCTTGAAATAAAAATAAATCCCTGATATAATAATTGTGTTATTTCATGTTTTGGTTTTTTCTTGTTATGCTTGTGATGATGATAAGCGATCGAGTAAACGTAATTTTGTAAGAATTGATCGACTAAGATCAGTATTTAATTGCCATAGATTTTCTTCAGTTATTTGAATATCGGATTTTTTTTCATCAATTTGAATTTTTAATTTTTTCATACGATTTGAAAGATATAAAGTACCAAATAGACAGGCTAATGTTATTGATGTAAGAGTCAAATCTGTCATAGATGGCATTATAGATAATAGGAAAAAACTAATAATCGCGCCTTTTGATAGAATACATTCAATTTTTGAAGCAAAAAATATTTCACAATGTTTTGGTTTGATAAATCAGTTTTCTAATGGATGTTATTCTGGCATATGATGCACAATATAGATTATTTTATAATTTAAGAAGATTTTTATAGACGGAATAAGCTTATTCGAAAATAAAGTTTTAAATATAATAAAGTAGTTGTTTTTATTTTAGATGCCAATCGTATTTTATTACGACTTAATGTCACAGCCCTGTCGGGCTTTGTATATTTTTCTTAAAATGACAGGCATTCCATTTGAATCGAAAGAAATTGCATTACGAAAACTTGAACAGATGACCGATGAATATGCTCAAATAAATCCATTTAAAAAAGTACCAGTTATAGAAGATTCTGGATTTATTCTTACTGAAAGGTTAAAATAAATGAAGAAAAAGAAATAGTTTATTCGCATAAAATTCTTCTTTTTTTGTTAGTGTGGCAATTTTCAATTATCTTTGTGATAAATACAAAATGCATAATTGGTATCCAACAGATTTAAAACAACGAGCACATGTTAATGAATATGCTCATTGGCAACATTTAAATTTACGTGCTACGGGATCAATGCTTTTTCGTACTAAAGTAAAAAATGAAGATTTTCGACTTTATGAAATATAACAAATAAAGTTTCCTTAAGATCATTACACCTCGTATAGGATCATGCATAAAGGATGTTCAGGTAAAAATCGCATTTCTTAATTCTTCTCCCGATAGTGTGGATCTAGGCGGATATTTGGCCAAAGAAGAAAATCGGACTTTTTCAAGATTTAAATATAGGAAAATATACTTCAAAATATAGTCTATCTAACGATATAAATAATTTTGTTGCAACTCACAAAGAAACTGGAAAACTAGTTGCCTAAAAATTAGCTTGAAAGTCGTCATGTCATCAGGAAAACTTATATCTGAAAAAATTAAATTGTTCAATAAACAAATCAAAATACATTTTTTGAATCTCCAAGCCGAGTTCTGCACAATGGTTAAAAAAATATATTTTAATTTGCAAGTTTAACTTCTGAGAAAAAAATATATTATTCTTTTTCTAGTGTCATCGGAACAGTTAATCCCGTAAAATGAGCACTTCATCCACATCCAACATCTTCTGAATTTTGCCAGAATGCTCTTCTATCTACCGTCTCTAATTTCTGTTAGCACAAACATCCCTGGACTGCACTGTAGATTCTTAAAAGACCTAGATTTCTCAGGTATTTTTCAGTTTTCGTGGCTTTGAAAAAACATTTAATTGACAAAAGTAATATATTTAAAATCAGCACATTAAACTGCGTTGAATGATATATAACGCAAAACAAATTTTCCCCTAAAAATTGTTTTTTTTTTTCTTAAAAATGCTTTTCTGCATCATATCCGATCATTCTTGAGCAAAAAAGTCCGTTTCCAAGCAAGAAAGTCATATGTCCACCTAACATGCGAAAAATACACACTGTAGTCCCCTGCTTCTGTCCAGTTTCATGGATTTCTCGACACTTCTGGACGTCCAGTATACAAAAAAAACTTTCTAGAAAAAGCCTGTTTGTTCAAACATACTACTTCCTTGTCATTAAATAAATAAAACAATAAACAAAAATATAATCTATTGCAAAGTTTTTGCTTTTTACATACATTGGATTTTAATAAGCAGAAAATCGTCAAAAACAAAAAAATAAACTTCCATACAAATGGTACTTGAAAATCTGACAACGTTCATTGTTATTGCTTCAAAAAATAACTATCCGTCCATGTAGCATGCTCTTCAATTATTTCAAGACTATGTTCATATTCAACGGATTCGAATTCAGTTGATTTCCTATCTGAAAATATTCTTCAACAAAAACTAAGCTTCAACATTTTGCCGAAATTTATGTGAAAAAAAAATGAAGATATTCATAGTAAATGTGTGGACGTTCTACAGTAAAACCTCTAATACTGAACACCCCTCCTTAATGAACAACCTGTTATACTGAACACCTTTCGGTCCCCCCGAGCAAATTTTGCTGGTTTTGACCCCCTCCTAAGTGAAATCCTCGCGATTCTGAATGTGAACGCTTTTTTGTGGTCCCGACTGTATAAATTGCCCCTCCATTGTGAACGACTACTGTGGCGCCATCTATCTCAAAGTTATTTGAATGTATTTTATTGGTCCCTTCCGTATATCGTTCGCCATTGAGATCGAGAGAAAAGAAGAAAAATTCTTAAGATGAAATGTAGAATATTGTCTATTCTCCTTAATTGTTACTTCTTCATTGTTTAACACGACATCTCAGCATGAACTTTATCTACAAATGAAAATGAAAACAATTCAAAGAGCAGAAATATATTCTATTACTGATGTACTTCGACAATCAATTTGAGAACACTTTTTGTGCTGCAGTCACATCGAAGTTTATATTAAAAATTTCATGTTCGTAATCTTCAAAAAGCTCACGATAAGAAGTGCACAGTAGTACATCCTTATATATTTTTGGATAATGAACGATTTTTATAGGATCCAAAAAGGTGTGCATTTATCTTGGTGATTTATTGTCGTAAGACTCCGACATTTATATTTAATAACAGAAAAACTGTCGCAGTGATGGGAAACTCGATGGAACTTATCGAATAACTTTAATCTCATAAGGAGATAAATTAAATAAACTTCGATTTATTTCAGCAAGGGCCTAAAATGTATGTAAAGCTCGAAAAACCTTTGTCTTTTGATGAAACCCCTCCTAAATGATCACCTCGTTATTCTGAACGATTTTGAATAGTCCCATCAGTGTTCACATTAGAGAGGTTTTACTGTATATGGATGGTCACTATAACAAATAAACCACCCAATGAACGTGAATTAGAAAAATGGTATCAACAATGGCAAGAATCAATAAACTATCTTGAATCTGTATGGTTAACTCGATCATCTTATTTAGGTGGTGATCATTTAACAATTGCAGATTTACTTGGTAAATTACATTGATTAAAAAATCAAATTAATGATATAATCATCTTTCTATATTTAGGTATTTGTGAATTGATGCAACCGATTGCTGCAGGCTATGATTTAGATAAACAAAAATTTCCTCGTGTTTACGATTGGATGGAAAGAGTAAAAAAAGAAACGCAACCTTTTTTTGATCAAGCACATACTTTTCCTATGCGTATGAGAGATGCAATATTGAAAAATGAAAAATCTAAACTTTAAATCAACAAAAACTACAATTAAATTATTCATTTTGTTTTTTGAACTTTTGTGATTTTATTCAGTTTTTTATTTCATGATTTTGTGATTAAAAAGAATATTGATAGAAAAATACTGATTTTAATTTTTGAAAAATTGATTGAAAAAAATTCAAGACTATTGAATTAAAAAAACAAATATATATTCAAAGGATATGATTCACCAACGAATGGTGTTTTTGTACTGAAAGAAAACATTTTGGAAATCGATGAATTTTACTTCAGAAAAAAAAAAAAGGTGAGATAAGATAAAAATTTCGAATTAAAAAAATATGTCTTTCAAGGTCAAAACATAATGATACTCTAATGAATTTAAGTGTTGACAAAACAACGAAAAAAATTTATTTATTTTCTAGTTTTAAGGTGTGTAAAAAAATTGAAGCAAATGGTTATATTCTATAATTAAATCTTTCCAAATATTCTTCAATTGTACGAGTTGCTTTTGTATTCATTATTCGCAAAGCTTTTCTTTTTGACACATCTCTTCTCGTGTTCGCCTTGTTTATGCGATAGAACGACGAGCGATGGACATAATTGCGATTTGATTTCTTCAATCGTTGTGTTTAGTAAGCATATACACAGTACGGTATGCAAATGGGCTGCTATATGAGAGTGTTTATAGGGCCGATATTAGAAAGAAATATGTATATATATATATATATATATATATACATACATACATATATTAATTGTTGCCAAACATATGTTACTATAACGTATAATATATTCTCAAAGACGAAGAAAAAAAAAATTTTTTTTTTTAACTTCTGATAATACAAAAAAAAATGAATAAATGATTGATGAATGGTTATTAACATTTGAAAAGATAGGATGTTCTAATCATTTGCATAATTTGAATAATAGTCTCATAGGAAAGTACTAAAAAGCATTTTGTCTTGTTTTCTATCAACGGAAGAAATTTGGAACGAATAGGAATTCTCAGAGTATCTAACCAATGAAAAATCGATCCGTTCTGTAAGTTTATATGAAGGAGGAAAAAAAATGATATCCATTAAGAGAAAAAGAAAAAAAAAAGGTAAGACAGATCGATGAGAAAGAGAGAACGAGAAGGAGCAAATCAAATTATCTATCGAAAAGCGATTCACACATATACAGACGCACACAATCATACACATCGTCAAAAGAGACGCGACGACAAGAACACTTGATTAATTGTTCGAACGGAAATATAATCATAAATATATTTTTCTTTCTTCTCTCTTCTCGTCTAAGTATTAAAAACTAATAACACATTGCTTAAAGATAAAGAGACAATATTTGAGTATTTTATTTTGTGGTAAGTCAATATCATTATTTTTAATAAAATAGTAGATCTTTTTTTATTATCATAGTATGTTATTAACATCAGGTTGGTCATTACCATCATCTTCTATTGAAGATTCATCTTTATTAGATGATATAATGTTATCGACTGCAACAACATCAAGTCAACATCAACCAAATTTTTGGTTTCCTGGTAGTCCATTACCTTCATTTTTTTCTTCATCATCTTCATCAACAATTGGAGGAACAGAGAAAATCTCTTATACTCAACAACCAACAACAAATAAAATTCTTTTTGATTCAAGTGCATGTAGTTCAAGTTCAGGAAGTTCACCACCTTTATCTAATGATTTTCTTCTTACACGTTCAAATCTAACACAACAACAACAACAACAACTACCACCACCATCAACAGGATCAACATTAAATTTAACACAATTTAATTATATTCAACAAAATCATCATCATCATCCTCCATCTGTTGTAACATCAACATCAAATAATTTTCTTCCTCGTGATGATTGGTCACAAATACCAATGGCACAAACAACAACTTCGAACACCTCCGCATGGCATCCACAACATTCAACAAAAGGTAAAATTTTTCTAACTCATTTAAATCATCCTATTGTATATAGAGAAGAACTTGCTCAATACCTCATTCATAGGTATATACATATATATATATATATATATATATTCTCATTCATTCATCCATTCATTTTCTCTGCCTTAATGGTTATTCAATGATTGGAAGGATGATTTATAATATTTGTTGCCGGCGCATTACATTTGCACATTTCTCTTAATGCTATGATGCTCTCTGTCTCTCTCTCTCACTAGCTCGTTTTTTTTTTAATGTAATACAGAAAGACATTTGACAATAGACTTCCGTTTCTTTTCTTTTACTTATGTTTTGCTAGAATATTAAAAAAAAGTCATGCCATTATTTTTTTGTAATATTAAATGACATTTTAAATTTGATCTAATAGGCAACATTTGTATGAACATGATCGCATCATTTCAGTCGATCGATCAACACCAGACGTTGCATGATTGAAAGCCAATTTGTCACACAACTTAAATTAGTCTGTTGTATTTTAATCGTTTTTTAACCGCATCAACACATTCGATGGGCACCAGCAGTAGAATTTGCACGTGCTATGACTTCTTTCTGTGTTTTTTTTTCTTCGTCTTCAATTTCTATATGTGTAAAGCAAAAGGGCGTGACGAGTATCTTTGTCATTGCTCAATTGATTTGTTATCACATGCACGAACCACCTTTTTTTCATTTCGCACCTTCTATAGGACATAGATTTTGACTTTTTTTTAATGACATTGATACACACACATATTTAATGAGCAGCAAATGACACTTTTTTTTTAGCGAGAGAGGATGAGGGGGGGGGGGGAGAGAGGAGAGACGAAGGAGAAGCAAAATATATTTTTTTTACGAAGATAAATCAATTGAGAAGAAAATGTAATGAATCGAATCATCTTATGAGAAAAAAAAACGGATGCTAAAAGTAATAAACGATACGAATGATATTGAGAAAAAGCCGCTTCCGTCTATAATGTCAATCATTGTCAATGGACCATTTAAAAACAAAACAGAAAAATATGAACCCTCTTTAAATTTCATCGGAATTTAATCTATTTAAAAAAAAAAGAAAATATGTATTTTGCATAGCTTTATTATTCACCATATAAAGAAAAAAAAATTCGAACAATTGAAAATCAATGATCCTTCTGTATTGACATATATCATTAGAAATCTATGACATCACTTTAATATTAAGGTGTAAAATAAAGAAAAAAAACTAAAAATGATATTATACACGAGTAACCTATCATTAATAATATTTAAGTCAAGATTTCGTTCTACTATGATAATCTAATTGATAATTATACACATATGATGATCGATCGAAAAGTGATTTTGCCGCAATGCTCCATGACATTGTCATCAAACGTTTCAACACACATATACATTCAAATGTGCACTCAAACGAAAAGAAGATCAATATGAGTACGATAAACGATGGCATCATCAAGGAGCACGTCAAACTTTTGAATAATTTGTTTTGACTTTTTCTTTTTGTTTTTTCTCAAGTGTGTTTATAATACACACGCATGCAAATGGTTATTAATAAGCCGTTAACTCTGATTGCTGTCTCTTATAAACAAATAATATTTGATGAAAGAAAATATCTATTTAGGTGTTCCTCTTGATAATTCTCAAGTAATAAATTATTCCAGTATGATGACTGGTAATGAATCAATAAAAGATATGAAACGTAAAAGTAGTCGACCAACATTTACTGGACATCAAATATTTGCATTAGAAAAAATGTTTGAAAATACGAAATATTTAGCTGGAACAGAAAGATCACGACTTGCTTGTCAATTAGCTATGAGTGAAGCACAAGTAAAAGTAAGAAATCTTTTGTTTTGTTTGTTTTTTTTTTTTGTATAAATATTGCAATGAATTTTATTTTGTTTTATAGGTTTGGTTTCAAAATAGGTAAAAAATTTTAAATAAAATTTGATTTACATAGTCTCTTTTTTTTTTGTTCTTTTAATAATTATTCAGACGTACAAAATGGCGAAAGAAACATGCTGCTGAAATTCATGGTCCATCCGGTAAACGAAATAAACAACAACGAAATGATGGATTAATTCCTCCGATTGAATCAGATTCAAATTCAACTTAAATCATTATGAAAATTTTCTTGCGTTCTCTTTCTTTTAGTGTTTCAGCTATTTGTGAAAAAAAAAACTTACTGTGTACATTTATTTCCGTTTGTTACACATCATCATTTTGTTCAATGTTCTTTCTCGAATTTGAAATTGTTTTTCTTTCTTTTCTTTTCTTTTTTTTTTGCTTTTTGTAATGTGTGCGTTTATTATCATCGCATGCATATAGTCATTAATATATTCTATTAGTGGAAATTCATATGAAAACAAAAACAAATGAATCACCAATTTTGCTTTGTCATTTTAACATGTAATATATTACTGACTAATTAAAAGTATCAATTTATTATCAGAAAAAAAATTGAAAGATTTTTATAGAATATTAGTACGTATACTAGCTTGATCCGTTGATGTAGGATAATCAAAGATTGATGACTATTTTTTGTTGTCTCTTCTAAACGAGTTACTCAATAATGACGATTGATTCAATCTCAAATAATAATGAACTCAGAATGACTAGAGGCATCTACAAGGTTACGAGGATTGGAAGGAAACGATCACTAAGAAGATAGGGCTCATGACATTGAGGGTTTAGTTCTTGTCGCGAGGACTGGTGAGCAAAAAGATGAAGAAAATCATTCAGTTTCGCTCGAGAAAAACGAAAATTTTTCAGGGTTGGAGGAATTCGTCTCCAATGGGCACTAGAGTCCGTCGGGTCTAAAAATTTCAGATTCAAACCAACCCGACAGGCTCTACTTGGAACATCCTTGAAAATAACAAAAAAAAACCGAAAGTTGATTTTGATGTTTGTTGACATGTTGCGTTTTTTATTACAAAAAAACAAGGAGTTTCAGTAAATTAAAATGTTTAATTCTTATGGAAGCTAATCACGTGTCTAAACGATTTTTTATAATTCAGCTTTTGTAAATAAACTTGAAGTAACAGTCAAAATCAAGGATTTTTCCAGATGATCTAATCAATTCTTGAAGTTTCTTGCTATCGACATTGTCGAACTAGTTTTAAAAGGAATCAATTCGTTTTTTCGAATCAAAAGTTCAACTTTCAAAACATGCAACATCCAATACTGAAATCTTCGCAACAATATCGAATTATATCATTGACTTCTTAACTGATTCAATCGTTTTGTTGAACAGCATCATATCCAAACTACAAATTTTCCACCGAACCCCTTTTTTTAAGAACCAATCTTAGAATGAATAAAACCTAAGAAATAAGATATCTCTAAAAAATTTTCTTGCAAGGTTTTTACCAAATTTTTACAAAAAACTACACAATAATGTAACGCATGAAATTCATCATCGGTATTAGTTTTGGTAAAATGTTTTTTATTCATTCTACTCTCGTTAATCAAAATAGTTTGAAAATAACAATTTTATAAACCAGACGCTTTTGTAAGAAAATTAATCATCATCTCCAGAAATCATCAATGAATTCAATTGTTTTTTACGTTATTTGTTCGAACTGTGGTAGATTTCAGCAACTTGGCAAAAAAAAATTTTTTTATCATTACACAACAAGTAAACGTAATCAAACTATTTAGTTTCTTTCAAAAAAAAAGAAAAAAGCAAGAGCATTTTAAACTCCTAATACATCATTGATCAGAGAACTCGGATACAAGAGTCATCATCAAACTGATGTTTTTCTATTCCCTTTTGATATAAACAAATTCATAAATATTAGAAAACGATATTGCTTGATAAATAATTAGAACGAAATAATTTTTTAGATGTGTTTCGTTTCTGGCTTTTTCTAAGATTGTTATATCTGAATTAAAAATTTGTCATATAAGTCAACTGTGACATTTAACAGAGTTCGACATTTTTGCAAAGATTTATAATCCCATATTATTTTCTCTATATTTCAAAATCATACATTTATTACAATAAAATCCTTGCTTAAAAAAAAACATCAGTCAACAATCAAGAATATTGCGTATAACAGGCTAATAGAAGTCTTATGTTTACTATAAATTCTAACATTATTCATTTTTTATCGATGCTTGAAATCGTTTTTGTGCTTGATTTAATCGTGCAAGTTTTTGTTCTTTAGTTAATACAGGCATTGCTCGACTATTACGAATAAGTGTAATAATACTAAGTAAAATTTCAATTAAAATTAATGTTAAACCTATTGCTGAAAGTAGAATTTCTATACGTTGAACATATGATTGCAATATAAGAAAAAAGACAAAGCCAACTGCACAAAAAAGTCCATATAAAATAAAAATAATTAAAAGAGCAGGTCTTAACATTAAATTGCCTTTAATACCAAAAAAATGACGAAGAAATTCATTTAAACAAAGCATAAATACTAAAGAAATTTCAAGACCAAATGCATTAGAACTATATGGTAAATGATAATATTTAAAAATAAAAAGAAGAATTTCAAGAATAAACCACAATATTGTATAAGTAATATTGGCATGTAAAAGAATATGAAGAGCAGTACTCGATTGGTCGGAAACAGTCAGAAACATGTTTCTAAAATAAAATATTATATGATTATATAGATCTCACAGTTTTCTCAACAATAATGTATCAATAACTTCGAGAAATTATTTTCTCGAAACTTTGTTATAAATTTTAGTCTTCATCTAGGTGTATGAAGACTAAAAGTCATTTTTTTTTTGGAGAATATAGTTTTATTTTGGTTTTAGTTGAAACATACTTTAGGAGTATCGAACGATAAATTGAGCAGATTTAAAAATAAAAATAAAAATTATAGCAGTTTAGATTTAAAAATCGGATTAACTCTATATTTGATAACTTCTTATGAAAAAAAAAAACATTTCAAAAATAAGAAATAAATCTGAACTATTAACTCAACCATAATAGATTACATTTCCAAAGTAATGCCTTCTTGACAACTTGTGCATATGTTCGGACAATACGCCATCTGGCCTGTCTTTTATATTACTCTGTTATGATAGGTGTATGTAGAACATCAATAGATATTTATTTAAGGTGAAGAGAAGAGAGTGATGAATAGAAACATATTTGGTTATTTCATTATTTAGAGAATTTGTTTTTAGATATTATGGTTGCATCTTTTTGCTTATATATAAACTTATAAGAGTAATTGAAAATATACTATCAAATATCATTACCAGGTATTAGAATTATTTTATTTTTTTGTATTGTTGTTTTTTGTTTTCTATGGTTGACTTGATTTTCGTTATTAAAAAAAAAACTAAAAAGATATTTTATACTAAAATTTTCATTTTATTAGCTATCTATTGTTAGAAAAGATTCATATTCTTATCTCGCACATGATCACAATCGTTTTGTCTTTGTTATAATATTTTAACTTTTTATTAAAATATGTAGAAGTAAAGAAGATAATAATCGAGTTCATAAAGACAAAAGTATCCTTGTCTCATATATTAGAATAAGGAATTGTTAAATTTTTATTTTAAAACTCAAGAAAAAAATATAGAATTTTACAACTGATTTTTTTTTATTACTTTTTCAGATTAGCATGCGTTCTTCAGTTATCTTTGTTTATCTTCTATTATCTATTTTATGTGTTTATTGTTCTCAACCTAAACGTATAGTTGATCAAATGTATATATCATTTGATCATGCACGTTATTGTGTTCGTCGTCTTAATGGTACACATGAAATTGGTTGTCAATCATCTGCAAGTGGTAATTCTGGTCGAATGTATATGATTGATAATGATGAAGAATTTAATTCTTATCTTATGAATACTAAATTAATTGATTCATCTGGATCATTTATTATTGTACTCAATGTTAATTTATTTAATACATATTATGTTGATAAATTAATAACATCTCTGAGTTCAAAATTAAATGGTCTTTTACTTTATTTAAAATCAACATCATCACGACCTGAATATTTTTCACATGATGATCAATGTCCTAATCATCGTTATTCATATTATTTAAATCAAACAGAAATTATTAATTGGAATTCAAAAGGAACTGGTTTATTTTTTCGTTCATTTCCATTTCCAATAATGTTAATTGATGAAGAAGATGATTATAAACAATTAATAAAATTCTATCGACAATTTAATTATAGTCAATCATCATCACCAACATGTGGTCTTGAATTAAAATCATTTCAAAATGCAGCACATTCATCAAAAACATGTATACGAAGAAATGATATATCACATTCATTAATTGATCTTGAAGAAACATTTTGTGATCCAGTTGGTGGTTTAAATATTTATAGTAAATTACCTCAATCATTTATAATTATACCTAAAAAACGCCAACCAAAATCAGTTATACTTATTTTAACAACAACAGACAGTTTTCAAATGTTTTTAAAAATAAAAGGTACAACAGGTGGTGCTCAACAACCAGCTACATCACTTATAACATTTCTTGCACTTGCACATCTTATTGGACAAGAACAAAATGAATTTAAACAACAAGATAAAGAAATTATATTTGTTACACTTGATGGTGATGCACTTGATTATTCAGCTTCATTTAAATTTATGTTTGATATGATAAATGGATCTTTTCCAATTGGTAATCAAAATGAAGAACCTATTAAAGTTGAACATATTCATTCTATTATTGAATTTCAATCATTAAGTTTAACTGATAAACTTTCAGTAAGTAAATCATTTTTTTTTTTGGAAAATTTTTATTCTTTGATAAGCAACAAGAAAATAAAAAAAAATATTAATTTATTTTTTTTTCCTATTTTAATTTCAGCTTTATACATATCCATCATCACTTATAAATCAAACATTTATCGATACACTTGTTCATAATAATCCAATGATTATTCCAATGGCGGTTGATTCTTCTTTACCACCAGCATCTTCACAAATCTTTCTTCGTCAAACATCATCATTATCTTTTCCTGCTTATATACTTACATCAACAAATCAAAATCAATTATCAAATCATTATTATCATTCATTTTTTGATGATCCTTCAACATTATCAATTAATATATCATCATTAGAATATAATAGTACAACTGAATTTAGTCAATGGATTAAAAATATTGTTGAACCATTTGGTCAAACATTAATTGAATCATTTGTTGGTATAAAAAAAAATATAACTATTAAACAAGAAATTATAAATAATCTTGTTTATTGTATTTTAAAAAATATTAATTGTCCTCTCATTCATAATGTAACAAATCAATCAACTGGAAATTCATTTGATTCATCTAATGAAACATCATTACCATTTTCAATCAATACTTATCCAGTAGCAGCAACACCAACTTTTCCTTTTGTACAAAATATTCTTAGTTATTTTTTACGTGATCGTATATATGATACATATAATTTAAATGAAACAACATGTAAACAATATTCAAATAATGATAGTTTTTGTTCGTATATATATGTTGGTGGATATGCACCATCGATAATGTCTGAACAATCATTTGATGGATATTGTGTACGATCTTATATACGATCTGTATCATCAATGTCACCAGCATTTACTATTGATAATTATGATTTATCACAAACAACTTATCCAGCATGGACTGAAAGCCGATGGACAACAATTAGTTTACGATTATTTGTTATTCCAACAAGAAAACATGAAATTATTACACTTGTTATTGGCATTTTACTTCTTTCAGTTTCATTTATTGTCTGTTTTATATTACGTTACTACACAAATATTAGTCTTTTGCAACCTTCATCATCATAAATTATGAGAAAAAAGAAATCCCAGTGTGTAATTTCAATGTATTGTTTTGTTTTGTTTTGTTTTTTCGCCGTCCGATTCTTTTTCTTTTTATAATCAAATTACATTATTGTGTACTTTCTGTGTAATTATTGCAATAAAATTTCGAACAATTGATGTTTAACAATATAAACAGTTCAAAAGCCGGAACTTTAATGATTGTTAAAGATATTATGATGAATGATGAATTGACATAAATTTAAGACAATCCTGATGATTAATCGTTTGAAGTAAAGCTGAAAATGACTGAAGATGTCGTTTCATATGAATAAAAGCTGTTTGCACAATTCCTACAGGATTAAAATATGAAACACACTATAATTGTTGTTGCTAATCACAGGAAGATTGTTTTATTCTATCTAGTCAGGGACACATTTCTTCACCATTCTTTTATTTAATCATCCAGAGATGCATTAAGAAAGTAGTTGATATATTACAATGGCATCTTATCGACATACGGTCTTCGGTCGCATATTAACAATGCCTGTCACGATCTGTGTAAGGCGAAGATGGGATGTTGCTAAAGGTGGCTGTAATATGTTTCTATTAAAATATCTATAGGATGGAATGGCTGCAAAGTTTTATTCTATATATACTTGAACATTTATTTTAAATCATATTTCACAATAATCTGTTTCGAAATCAGTATGCAAATAGTTCATATTTTCTAGAGAACATTCCCTTGATAAACAATCTAAGATATATTGATCCATATCGCTTTTGTTAGCAGTGTCATTTTGCGTAATAACTCTAATTTAATTCATGCTGATCCGTCAATATTGTTACATTTTCTTTTCTTGTTATTGGGACTCTTGCAGACGAAGTTATTGAAAAGATATGAAATCTTCATAGTTTTATATGAGAAAAGGTTTCTAATAGGAAAAAAGTAACTAAATAGAGCAAAGAAAGATCTTTCTGATGATAACGGCTGCACAAGACATTCGCAAGTATGATTCAAAAAAAAAATTCTCAGTTCTCTGATTTTCAATTACGTATAGATGTTTAGTGTAGAACTTCTCATTTCATTGAAAGAATAATTATGTATATCCACACCCGAAAATAGTTAATCTGTTGGTTATCCAGAAGGTTAATATAAATTATTGAAACTTGTTAGAAACGGTAAACTGTTGCTATGAATATTGTGTTGTGTTGATTCTTTGTTTTGTATCATTTCCTGAAATTCGAACTTTTCATTGATTTTTTTACGTTCAACATAAACAAAAAAGACAGAAAACATCTTGTTACAATAATAAATAGTCGTATGAATTTCCATTATTGAACAATATTGAACTCGTTACAAATGAAATAATTGAGTATTATTTAACCAATCACATTAAATATTTCAAAATTTCGTCATACAGCCATAATTTTCTTCAATACTCATAACTTTTCCAATTTTTAAAAGGAATCTAGTTTCCCATAGAACGCATTGTATAATGATGTAAATCTATATGCAATTCGTATAAAAACTATTCAGTGTCAGACAATGGTATATGCTTCTAATCGTATACTTGCCGCATTGACAGACACTACATATGAAAAACGTATTCATTTAATCAAAGACACACATTATGTCATTGATAAAACAAGTCGAAATAATGAAGAAATAGTATCGAAAACTTCCCAAAATATAACTCAATAAACAATCGATTCAACACGTTGCGCTTTTGCGTCTTACTGATCGAATAGTTTATCCACTTAAACTACAGTTAAATAGCTAATGATTGCTCATAATATCATTGATGCAAGAGTTTTCGTACGTAAAAAAATAGCATAAA